ATTTTTTCCCTCTCTAATTTTAATTTTTCTAGTAGTGGGGTTAAATGTGGGTTAAGGGTTTTATGAAGGGGTTACGTTAGTTTTATTTTCATGTTTTTCACATTTCTCTCTTGTGTTTCATGCTCTAAAAACTGGGAGAACTAGAGATAATTGAAGATCACCCCAAAAATCTACGTGCTATTCATCGAGGTAAGGGAGAGTGAAGATTTTCTCCTTTGGAAGCCACTTAACCTATTGAGTTGGGATTACATTTCATTTTTACTTGTGTATACATGTTTAGGGTTTAGGATATGAGAAGATAGATGCATGTGTTAATCATTGCATGTTGTATTATAAAGAAAATAGTGATAAGGATGTTTGCTCAGTATGCAAACAACCGCGATTTAAACCAAAGGCAAAACATTCTTCAAAATAGAAAGATGTCCCTTACTCAGTGTTGAGATATTTCCCCATTATTCCAAGACTCCAACGTCTTTTTAAGTCTAAAAATACTTCAAAATATATGCATTGGCATGTCGATGGTGTGCGTCAAGATGAATCAATTATGACACATCCAGCTGATGCTGATGCTTGGAAGAAATTTGACCATACCCATCCAACATTTGCACAAGAGCCGCAAAATGTTAGGCTTGGACTTTGCACAGATGGCTTTAATCCATTTGGTAATTCAAGTACCTCATATTCCTGTTGGCCTGTTTTCCTCACACCATACAATCTTCCCCCAAGTATGTGTATGAAAAGGGAATATATATTTCTCAGTCTTGTGATTCCTGGACCAAAGTCTCCCGGTAGAAGTTTAGATGTGTATCTTAGGCCTCTAATTGATGAGTTGAAAATCTTATGGAACATTGGGGTTAACACTTTTGATGCATGTAGGAAGCAAAATTTCATTATGAAAGCAGCTTTATTATGGACAATAAGTGACTTTCCAGCATATGGAATGTTATCTGGTTGGAGCACTCATGGGAGACTTGCTTGCCCCTATTGTATGGAGCATAGTAAATCATTTTATCTGAAACATGGAAGGAAATGTTGTTGGTTTGATTGTCATCGTTAATTATTGCCTATTGATCATCAATTTCTTTGTGATCGACACTCTTTTAAGAAGTCAACTGTAGTAAAATCTTTACCTCCACAAGAATTTAATGGCATGGATGTCTTAAATATGGTGAATCAACTTCATTATATCACTTTTGGCTTGAAGGAACCCAAACAACAACAACCTGGCTTTGGTACAAGGCATAATTGGGTGAAGAAAAGCATATTCTGGGAATTACCTTATTGGTCCACTAATCTAATACGACACAATTTGGATGTCATGCATGTTGAAAAAAATGTGTTTGACAATATCTTCAACACTGTCATGGACATAAAGGGAAAGACGAAAGACAATGCAAATGCAAGAGCTGATTTGAAAGATATTTGTAAACGCCCAAGTTTAGAGTTGATATTTGAGAATGAAATGTATAAAAAGCCAAAGGCGACATATGTCTTGAATGATAATCAAAGAAAGAAAGTGTGTGAGTGGATAAAACAATTAAAATTTCCAGATGGATATGCATCTAACATATCACGTTGCATTAATATAGATGAAGGAAAGATATATGGAATGAAAAGTCATGACTGTCATGTTTTTATGCAAAGACTAATTCCTTTGGCATTTCGTGATATGTTGCCAAAGCCAATATGGGGAGTATTAACAGAACTCAGCTTGTTTTTCAAAGAAATTTGTGCACATGAGATACGTACTTCTTTCATGGACAATGTTAAGGTTTCCATTATTGAAATAATTTGCAAGCTTGAAAAGATTTTCCCGCCAGCATTCTTTGATTCCATGGAACATTTAATTGTGCATCTCCCTTATGAAGCCAAGGTTGGAGGACCAATGCAGTACAGATGGATGTATCCATTTGAGAGGTTCATGTTGTACTTGAAAAAGAAGGTTCGAAATAAAGCAAGGGTTGAAGGATCCATTTGTGAAGCTTATATTGTGGAAGAAATTTCTAATTTTGCTTCTATGTACTTTGATCCAACTATACAAACAAGACACACTCAAGTTCCTCGAAATGATGATGGTGGTGAAGATGCCAATGGTGATGATAAGTTGTCTATTTTTAAATACCCATGTCGTCCTATTGGCAAGGGTCAAAAAATAATATTAACAGATAAAGAGCTTGAAATTGCTGAGACATATGTTCTTGTAAATTGCAAAGAAGTGGAACCTTATCTCCAGTAAGTTTGTTCCCTAATTTCTCAATTTTGGTAGTTTATAGTGAAATTAGTTTTCTTATTAAATTTATTATATGTATTAGACAATTTGAGGATTCGCTAAAGGAAACAAATCCCAATATTGATGAGGATGAAATAGTGGAAACTCGCGATAAAAACTTCAGTAAATGGTTGAAACATCAAGTGAGTCAACTTACTCATAAATGTATATAATGTTCTTTTTAACGTTCATAATATATACTAAGTGATGCAACCATTTTTTCTCTTTGAAATCATTTACAGGTAAGTACAAATCAAGTTGATGATCAAATGATTAAAGAGATAAGTTATGGTCCATCTAAATTTGCAACTTCTTTTAATGGATTAATAGTTAATGGATATAGATTTCATACTAAGGACTATAGACATAATAAAGCCACCATGAATAGTGGGGTATGCGTTCGGGGAAATATATATGGTGAGAATGATTTAGACTATTATGGAATTGTTGAGGATATATTAGAATTATCATATCTTGGACATCAAAGAGTAATTATCCTACGCTGCCACTGGTTTGACCCAAATGGTGTCACTATTGATGAAAGATATGGGTTGGTTGATATCAAACATAAATCAAAGCTTCAATCAGATGAGCCATTTGTTTTAGCTGAACAAGCACAACAATTTACTGCACAAGATACCCACAAAGTGGGGGTAGATCTAGTGATGAATGGTGGGCAGCTTGCAAAGTTAGACCGAAACTTTTTATGGCTGAGACATTAAATGATGAATTTGGTGGATCAAATGAGCTAACTTATAATGATTATTATCAAGATGATGGATCCATAAAAGCACACCAAAGTGTTATACACGATGAGACGATACCATTGTTTGATGGAATTGCTCCAATGGAAGAAGTAGGCAACAATGATATACATCATCCAATGGACAACTTGCATCATGATCACTTCATTGATGATATTGAAGATGATGAGATTGAAGATATTAACGAGTTCATAGATGATGAGGAATTATATGATTCAGAATCTAGTTATGATTAACAACTTGATTTTGAAAGGTGATGAATATATTCTAAAAGGTTTTAGTTTCAACACATTACACATAATTACTCATTTTTTAGTGTTAAAATAAGAAATAGATAAAAGGGTTTCTAATTGGTACTAGTATTGCCTTATTTGATTACTTGTGGTTCTTTATGACTTTAATTTCCCATATAAATGATCACTTTTTGTTGTTTTAATTTTATGTAGGTAATCATTATGCCAACTACTCGAGGAAGAGGGCGTCAGGTTAATCAAGCCAATAATCCTCATCAGCTCACTCAAATTGCTTCGAATCCTCCACCACATGTTTCTCATCACTCACCTCGTACACTTTTAGAATAACATTTTAATTATTAACTCTATATTTATTTAAATGAAATGGATAAAAACTAACTTTTCTTTACTATGTTTGTCTAGGTGATGGATCTACTAGTTCATTAGCTAATGGTGGTGCTACATCAGCTAGTGGCGGACAATCATCTGATACCCAACATCTGATAATCAACAACCTACTATGGTGCCTTCAAGTGAAGATTCTAATGTAGAAGTTGATAAGAGGCAAATAATATCCGTGGAGGCAGTTTCTAAACCGTAAGTAAAATTGAATTTATGAATATGATTAATACTTTAAATTCATGTTATTGAACTATTTGTGGTTTGAATTGAATTATAGGAAGAGGTTTGCTCAACAATTTGTGACTCGTTATATCATTTCTGAGGTAATGTCAAGGATGCCTTATGCTGCAGATTGTTGGAAAAGTTATTGCCCTGAAATGAAAGAAATGTTATTTAATGATTTTAAGGTAAGTAATTAATCTAATAGTATTATATATTATATCATTATATCAACAACTATTTTTTTTTACTTCAGTTGTATTATTGCAGGAAAAATATCGTTTTGCATCAGAATATGATCGTGTGATGGCGAGGGAAGTTTGGGAAAAAACATGCATGGATAGGTATTCTGATCAATTGTGTAAAGACAGTGATAAAGCAATAAAAGTAGAAAACTCAAGAAATTATGAGGATTTAAGGGCTCACAAGCCTAGAGGGATGAAAGCTGAAATATGGAATGGGTTTATCGACATTTGGAAGACACCAGAATGGCAAAAGAAATCTATTGCTGGAAGACAAAACAGAGCTGCCCAGCTTGAAGCAATGGTGCACACAGGAGGGTCAAAAAGCTTCGGGCAACACAAAAAAACTATGGTAATCAAATCATATTAAATTTTGTCAATAATTAATGAGTGATGTTTGCTTTATTCCTATTCTAATATAATTGTTTTACTTAGATAATCCATGGTAAAAGTTACTTATTTTTTAGATTTATTAATTTAGCTAATATTTGGAATTTATTACAATTAAAATTGTGTTATTGATGGTGTGTTAAAAAAATTTCTTTACCCATGGATTTTTTTAAGTGCAGTTTTTTTTTTTAATTCTTTAACAAGTTGTGAAAGTTGAAGGTTTTGAAAATTAATGAGTTTCATTGGTAAATTTAATTACTTACAATTTGTACTGTAATATTTTACAGGAGGCATAATAGAATCGTCCTGTTTCTTATCGTGAAGTGTATAACAAAGTTCACACAAAAAATGATGGCGAATTTGTCTCAACTAGGGCAAAGAAATTTATTGTATGTTATTTTATATTTTAAGATTGATTATGTACTTTTTTAACCTCTTGCTATTTCACTTATTTTTTTTTTGTTTATTATTTGTAGGAAACATATGAAGAATCAATGACACAAAAATATGGAGAAGACACTTCATCTCATCCTGTAATTGATTATGATCTTTGGTTAAAAGCTGCAGGTGAAAACAAGAAGAAAAGAGTGCATGGCATGGGACATAGCTTGGATCTTGGAACTAGTAGCTCTACCCAAGCTTCATCTCCAGAGGTTGTAGGTTCCTCTACAAATCTTACGCTTATGACAGAAGAACGAGTCACTACAGTTATAAATAATGCATTGGCCTCTTTTTTGCAAACACAATTACCATAGATGATGAGACAAATAATTCAGGCAGTTTAACCATCAACAACACCATCAACCAACTAACATAGGGAGGATTAAGGACGAGATGATGATTTCACTAGCTTAGGTTGATTACTATTTAGGATGACTCGTTATTTTGCTTTTCTTTTTGTAAGACATTAATTAGTTTGGGTTTCTTTAAGATAGTATGCACAAGTTGGATTTTGTAAGACATTTAACAATTTGGTTTTGTAAGAGATATTGCTACATGTAACTTTTATTTTAAATCATGTCGAATTGAAAAAAAATTATGTAGTTGATTTAGATTTATTTAAAATATCAAATTAAGTGGCATATCTACAGGGATTCATGAGAGAATAATGTATATATATAGATAAATTAGGAAGGTTTCGCGAGATATTAGCGATGGATTCGCGAGGAAACTCAAAAGATATGTTGTGAAGGTTTCGCGAGGGATTAGCGTGGTATTCGCAAGGGAACTCAATCCATATGCTTTGATGGATTTGCGTGGGATTAGCGAGGGATTTGCGAAGGACATATTTGCGAGGTTTTAGTGAGGGATTTGCGAAGGACATATTTGCGAGGGCTTAGCGAGAGATTTGTGAAGAACATATTTGCGAGGGTTTAGCGAGGGATTTGCGAAAGACATATTTGCGAAGGATTAGAGAGGGATTTGTGAAGGACCTCAATTGATATATTGCTACAGAGTTGCGAGGAATTAGCGACAATATCGCGAGGGATAATTGCGACGGAGTGGCGAAAGATTAGTGAGGAAATAATTAAACAATATTTTGCGATGGAGTAGCGAAAAAGTAGCGAAGGATATCGTGCGAAGGATTTGCGACGTTTTAGCGAGGAAATATTAAATGCAATTAGTGAGGGAATTTAGGTTCTACATTTGCGAGGCGATAGTGACGAATTAGTGGCACAAATTTGCGATGGACTAGCGAAGATGGTTGCGAGGGAAAAGCAAAGGAATGTAGCGAGGGAATTGCGGGGGATATGCAGCCGTCGCTAATTAGTGACTTGAATTTAGTGAGGGAATAGTCCTTCGCAAATCTCTCGCTAGTCCCTTGCCATTTTGTTTAGCGAGGGATTTGCGAAAGATCTTTCCTCTCTAATTCGCAATTTTCTTGTAGTGACAATTCTTGAGAAAATTCATAGTTTGACTTGAGAGTGGAATTATGCTTCTATACTCTTCTTTTGAGTATGAGATGTTATGATTAAGTTGTATGTATGATTGATTTCGTAGAGAACTATGGTCATGAATCTACGAGTGCATGTAGTTCCTGTAAGAAACTCTTGCTTTATAGAGCAAAGTAAAGATTGATGTTAATTGCATAAATATATGAAATTAATTATGTAGTAATAGGCTCTAATTTGACATCTTATCTTTTGGATTTGAATTGAAGTTATTAAGGAATGATGTAGGGAAGGTAAAAAACCTATGAATATTATAATATCCAATTTTGGACTATCATAACTTGCTCAGCAACCTTAGACTCACTCTAAGCGAATTTAGCTCGCTTTAAGTGACCTCGGTCTCGCTCAAGCGAGTCCTAACAGAGAACTTCAGATAGCAGCTCACTTCGAGTAAATTTTATCTCATTCCAAGCGAGTGAACCTCGCTTAAGCGGATGATTGGCTTGCTTAAGTGAGTAGATGACCAAATTTTCTTTTTGTTTTGTCTTGATAAAAGTTTCAACCCTAGATGTTAGCTTTAAAATGTCATTTGAATCACCCAAAAAGGAGGTCTAGAACTCAAATTAGGATCAACTTAGTGAGTGTAGGCTGAAAAATTGCAATTTTGTAATTATTAAAAATAGTAGATGACAAAATTAACACTTAAGGTCAAGATAGAAGTTGTATTATATTTCTAACAAAATTGAGATTAACTTGATATCATACATATAACTTCATATATTGTGTTTAGACCCTACAATGTCGTAGGAGCTTAAGATAAGGAGATACAATTTGAGAGTTGAAATTGTGTTATTTTATCCTTTAAGTATTTAATATTCACTACTAAAAAAGCGTCATTTTCCTGCAAATTTTTCTACAAAAAAATATTCGCAGATTTTTTTTTGCAAATTTTCTTGCAATAATAATTTTACAAAAAAAAATTGCAAATTTATTTGTGAAAAATAATTTGCAAAAATTTCTTACAAATTTTTTTTGCAAATTTTTCTACAATTTTAACGATCATAGAAATCTTTTTCCATTGTAAAAATTTGCAGAAAATGTTATAAGAATTTTATCAAAGCAGAAGGAATTTTTAGCTAAGTCTCCACGTTAATCCTTAGATCCACGCTTAGCCTTAACTTGGAAGAAAGTCAAGGAACAAACTTCAATCTTCACGCTGAGCGTGGAAACTGGCGCTAAGCACCAGTATTTCAGAAAGTCACTCCTTTCCAAACCAATCCCTCATGCTTAGCATGGCATCTCACGCTTAGCGTGAATTGTGCTAACATGTCATTACTTAGATAAGACAAAAAAAATTTATGACCTAACAGAGCGAATTTCGAGGAGAGACTAGGAGAACCTTTCTTGGAGTCTGGGTGGCGGCTGGAGAGCTCTAGAACCTTCAAGATAAAGTTTCTTCCTTTCTTTATCATTTTGTAGAGTTCTCTATGTCTATGTGTAGCTAATCTCACCTTTGTTAGGGTTTGATGTAACTAAACTCATTCTTATGTGTAAACTCTAAGTGATCAATCTTAGTTGTTATTCAATTTTATTGCTCTGTTTCCTGTGCATAATGCTTGTTATGGTTTGATCACCCTTAACTTGAACTTGAGGTTTTTAAGAGATTGGAAAATGATTTTAAACCTTTGAATGGAAATAAAGTAGATAATAGTGCTTATTACTAGGAATAGAGTAAATGTCATTAGTCTTTCTTAAGCTCTGGTTTTGGAAGCTAGTTTCTTGGTTAAACTATGCAAGGAATTGATAGGTTAATTTAGCAACTTAAATTCCAACTTGTAAGGGATTAAGGTTGGTTATTTTTGAGAGTGATTGATAAATTTTGAATGATAACTATTTTGAGCTCATTGATAAACATGAGGGGAAGGTTTAGTGAAGTCAATCCCCAACATTTATTAATATTGTTTTAGAATCAAGTTTTGCACCCTAAGTGTTTACAAAAATACAAAAAAGAATTCTTATAACATTCACATTGTTTGCTTACATTATTTACTGCAACAAATCAAATTCTTATTTCTTTTTGGTAGCTTAGTCAATATAACGAGTGATTTTGTAAAGTGTTGCGCAAATCCCTTGGGATACGATACTCATACTTACATTAAACTACTTATACGATTTGGTACACTTGCCAAGAAAGATAATAAGTTTCTTGCCCTAAAACGAGGTTTCTCACTCTCCTCTTACCTGGGTAAGCAAAAGAAAATGGATGCATGGTCCTGGGGTGATTTTCTTCCTATTCCTGTTCTTCAAGCTTTGAGCGTAAAATGAAACGCATATGTGAAAAATGTAAAATGAAGGAGCGTAAAAAAAAATTTGTTCAGAACTGCTCCTTTTAAAATATTAACTCCTCTATAACCCTATAGTTAAACATATTAACTATAGTTAATCCCTTCCCTGTTATTTAATTAAATTATAAAACATTGAATTAAAATATTTAACTAAAACACCTTCTATAATATTCCAAAACATGTCAAATAATTAAAATAAATATTAACACAACTTTTTTAATTAATACAAAAATAAAAAAATATTTATTAAATATTTTATGAAAAATTGAGTGTTACACCTCTATATGTCACTATTTTAGATCTAGAAGAGTCAATAAGAGCTTGTCACATGGCAAGACAAGAAAAGTGTGACTTATGTCATTATCCTAGATCTAGAAGAACCAATGGGAGATTGTCATTTGGTATGTTATGTAAAGTATGACTAGACAAGGTTATGTGGCTTGTTAACTTCTTAGATAACTTATGAGACATCCTTGTTCCTTTCATGTTGGACGTCCACTTGGAACCAAGGGAGGATGCTCATAAGTCACTCAAGTCAAATAAGTCTAACTAGTTTTTACTAGTTAATCCCTCCTAAAATACTATTTACACCTCTAAAGATAAAAAAAAATACAAGAAAATAAAATTCTTACATTACTTGACCAAAAATACTAGGTTAAAAAATAAGAAAAATACTTACAAGAAAAAATATACATAAAGAGAAAATGAACTAAGTTGTTAACCTATAGCTCAAAAAGAACTTAAGCTTTCTATCTTCACCATGAGTTCATTCCTTTTACATCTCCCTTGACATTGTCCTTGTAATAGATGATTTAGAACTACTTTGATTAATGTGACATTAGAGTTTATGTTTCTTTTTAAGAACCTTAGTTTTAGATATGGAGTTGTTTTATAATATTTAGTTTTTAAATCCTTTTTGAGAACTTGTAAAGATAGTTATGTTTGTTTATTTCTCTTTCAAAACTCTCTTCTTATTATTAAAGTAAAATGAAATTTTATATATTAAAATGATAGTGTAAATGATAGTGTCATTTACTTACTCTATTTTTCTCTTCGTTCTCTTTAACTGACTTGCTCTATTTTACTCTATTTAGTTGAGTTTGTTCCTCCTATATATAACACAGAAAACGCTTGAAATTTCAATTTTTAAGTATTAAGTTTTTTATAACACGAGTCAAGAAAAAGGAAAGATAAAAGTTGAAATTGATATCATGATATCTACAATCAACTATAAATCTTCAAGACTTTGTAATCAATTTAGATTTATTAGAATATATATATATGATGAATTTGAGTTAGGGTTCTTATGAGTAGAATGAAACTCAACAATTATTTTATTTATTTATTTACTATGAATTTTTATTTTTTAATTTTTATATTATAAAATTAAGATTTTTTATATTTAAAAAAAGAAAATTAACATAAGACATTGTATTATCTTAGAATTTAATACTAAAAATATTTCTTCGCGAGTGAATAATTGAAAGTAATTACAAAATTTTAAAAAATATTTTATACCTATAACAAATTTCAGATATATTTTTTCTTCTCTGAGTTGATGTTTGTAAATTTCTAAGATATTTTAAATGAATAAAAGTGGATGAAAGACACATTTTTACCTAAATACTGATATAAAATATAAGAACATATTTAGTTATAAGAGAGTATGACATCTACTCCACTATTTTTTAATCATTTATAAATTCACAAAATCTTGCAGAATCTATTAAAATCTTAACTTAAAAATTTTATAAAATCTATTAAAATCTTAATTTTTAAAATTTTATAAATCTTACAAAATTTTAAAAGTCATAAAAATTTTATAATTTTTTTAAAATTTAAAGGACTTTTTAGAAAAAAATTAATTTAAAATCATAATCTAATAGGTCACTTACACATTGTTATTAACTTTTTATGAAACCAAATATTTGTTCTGACAAGCCTAAATCAAACTTTGCTCTGACTATTTTTGTCCAAAGAAGTAAAGTAAGTAACCATCGATCATCATTTCATTTTGATCCGTTTTCCTTCCCACTACCCAAACTCCCCTCCCTCCCTCTCTCTCCCAAAATGGATTCAGGCGGCGTCGTAGGAGCCGCGAGCCACCCTCCACCGCAGTTCTACCAAAACGTCGTCGTAATGCGCCACGGCGATCGCATCGACAACTTCGAGCCCCACTGGGTTTCCCAAGCGGCCCGGCCCTGGGACCCACCCCTGGTCCAACAGGGCCTGGCCCGGGCCTTCGTCACGGGCCGCCAGTTCCGTAACAACTTACCCTTCGCCTTCCACCGCGTCTTCGTCTCTCCCTTCCTCCGATGCGTCCAAACCGCCGCCCAAGCCGTCACCGCCCTCGCCGCCGTCGCCGACGACGCCAACAAACTCACCGCCAATGACGTCACCATCGATCCCTCCAAACTCAAGGTTAGAATCGTCTTTTCCTTCTTTTGCAGAGTGGCCGATTATAAATCTCGTTTCGCTAAATTCTTATGCGTATGTATGCGATGTTGTATTGTTAGGGTAGTTGTATGAGGAAATCATGTATGATGGTTAATTTTTTTTTATTTTTTTTTGTAAAATAAAATAACTCCAATTTTGAAAGTTGATCAATTCTTCAATCATTCGATCATGTCTTTCGCCGAAGAAACCCAAATTTAGAAGATGAGATTAGTTTTGATCAAATTTAAGTTAATGAGTTTAGTATTACTCTGTTAACCAATTTTTTGTGTGGACTTGAAGGTAGTTTGTTTTGAAGACGTGCGTTTGTAATATGATGATTGAGTGAAAAAAAAGTTTAATTATATTTTGATTCCATTAGATTCATCAACTTTAACTTTTAGTTATAGTTAAAAATGTTCCATTTTAGTCCGTATGGATACTGTTATTTTGTTGCTTTTTAGTCTCTGTCCGCAAGTTCTGTTGGGACTAAAAGGGTAAAGTTTATGAAACTATGCTTAAATAATAAAATACTTAAATATGCTTTTTAGTTCATCAAATTTAAGGTAAATTTTTTTTTCAGTTTTTCAAATTTAAAACTGATCTCTTTAGTACCTGTAATTTCAAAATATCTTGTTTTAATGCCTATATTCAAATTTTGTTAAAAACTTTGTCAAATAATATTGCATAAAATCTATCTATTAATGTTCCTATTAGTAAAAACATATTAAATCTATCTGATATTGCATAAGTGTCTCAATATATCACTTTTGACTTGAGAGACTAAAAACAACAGTTAAAAACATATTTAAACCAAAATAAAAACAGTTTGTATAAATAAAGGCTATAATGAGGTATTTTTAATTATAAGGACTAAAAAGTAAAGCTGATGAAACTATAGCCCACAAAGGTATTAAACGAAAAAAACATTAGATTGTTGTAGTTGTGATTATTTATTCTAAATTAAATAAAAATTATTCTAAATATGACTTTCTTTAAAATAAGTATTGGTTGAGTTAATAATTTTATTGTGTTGTGTTTAGTACAATATTGGATATGATTCGGATCATTATCTTCAATAATGTAGTCTTGTTGGAAAGGCACGATGGAAAAATTCACAATGAATTAAAAAAAAATGATCTTTCTTTTTAGGACAAGATCGTAATTTGTTATTCAAGAGGAATCAACAATTGAAAGTTTAGCAAAAATTTTAATAATAAAATTCAGCAATGGGACTGTAATCCGTTACTTCTTGTACCGCAATTGAACTTTCTTATTTCTGTCACTGGTTTAACAGTATAAAATTCAGTCTGACAAACCTTTGATTTAAAGAGGTGGTTCTTGCTGTGTACCAAGGACAAGCATTAATTTGTCTTTTTATGCATAATAGATTTTCCAGTGAGGTTTCTGCACACAATGATTCTGTTTGATTTGTCTGTTAGGGATGTTTGACTTTGACGGATACATGTTGACACCTAGTGGTGAAAGCTGCATGTATACGCATATTGTATCATGGAGGTTCAGTTTCATCTGCAGAAGTAGAATTTTAGAGTTATGTAGGTGAAAGTGTAATTTTTATGTTTCTCTTTTATAAAATTTTAACATGACTTACAAATCCTGAGTAGATATATCAGCTATTGAGTTTATAAAATCCTAACCCTCACTTCCACAACTGCAGGTCTCTGTTGAATATGGGTTATGCGAAATGATGAGCAGGGCAGCAATCAGGCTTGAGGTTGCTCCTAAAGATGGAAATTGGGGTTTTGATATTTCGGAGCGTGAGGCCTTGCTTCCGGCAGGGACAGTAGATAAGAATGTGGAAAGGGTCTATAAGGAGGTATGGAGAGCTTGATCTTCTTTTTCAATTGCCTAGTTTTTAGGCACTTGACAATTATATAAGTGTATCCAAATATCACTAGGGCTGATGAAAACTTTTTTGATTGAGGAACTTCAGTTGCCCAAGTGGGAAGAGGATCCAGAATTGCAAACAAGGCCTAGATATAAGCAAATAGTTAAAGACCTTGCAGACAAATATCCAACTGAGAACTTGCTGCTTGTTACACATGGTATAGTATTATTCCATCTGGAAAAACATCTTTATATGGACTTGTTTAGATAAACTTTACCACTTCTTGGAGAAAAAAATAGGAAGAAAAATTGAAATAAGTTTCTTTTCTCCATAAAGTAAAACTAGCTTATGTAATAACTAATCTGTAATTTTTGAGACAAGTTATATGAGAGAATTTTTACAAATTAATTTATGCATACATTAATTTTAACCTTTGGAGAATTTTTTTTTATTTTTCTTTCTTATTTTTTCCTCCTAGAAGTGTTTCTGGGGAAGTTTATCCAAACAGCCCTCTATGTGAATGCAATATTTTTCTAGTTGTTCCTCATGTTACATTAATGAACAAGAATGAAATTTACTACTGTAAAGCAAGAAAGTGCTTGAACCTGAACCCGTTGAGCACTGAATGAAGAAGGTGCTCTATTTTGAAGTGTGCAAGAGATTTTTGCAAATGGAGTTCTAATCACATTGCATCTTTTGTAGGGGAAGGAGTTGGGGTGGCTTTTTCTTCATTCAAAAAGGGTGCTACGGTGTACGAAGTTGATTACTGTGGATACGTCCAACTCAGACGCCCAATTTTCAAGAAAGACCAATCATTTACTGCAGGAGAATTTGAAGTACTTAATGACAATGGTCAAACTGGCGTACATTTCTTCCTAAAACAAACGTAATAATGGCGATCCACACGTTTGAGACCTGATTCTCAATTATTACTCTGGCTACTTCATATTCGAGTCCACTCTATTGTGAATGCTTGATTGACTAAGAAAATTGAAACACCATTATTCTTCACTCGTGGGATATTTGCTGTCTTGATTGAATAGTAAACATAGGAGGGGAAAAAAAAAGTAGTAATAGAGCTTTGTTCGTCCATTTTATTCAGAATAAGTTACAAGATACATTACGCCATATGAAATTATGGAAAATTTGGTTTATGATTAAACTCAATGGTAATGAATGATATGTGTAAACAATTATACTCGTGAGAAAAGGCTTGGTTTTTAATGTTGTTGTATTTAGCGAATGTTAATCATAGCTCTGGTTATTGCTGGTGTGCAAATATGAAACTTGTCTGTTGGAATAGAAAGGAAGAAAATGCATGTAATGATATTAGTTTTGCGTCTGTTAAAAGCTGTTCGTTGACCTTATTCCAACGTGATTCAGTCTTAAAATTCTAACATGTTCAATTTACTTTGAAACGAATTAGTTTTCTCAACTGCACAATCATGATAATCTTTATGAAAAACACAATCATGATCATCCTTATGAAAAGCACTCGAGTGTTTGGGTGGCTTATTTGTTTAATTTCTTATGATTTCAATTATTGAAGTGTTTCTAATTGATCTGGTTAAGGTTAGAAAAGCACACTTAGCCATATGATTTTTCAGGAAAAATTGCTATATGATTGTTCTAAAGTTCTGTGGTAATTATTCACCTTTGCGTGACAGGTTATTCATGCAAAAAGTTCATTACCATTTCTATCACATTAAGCAAGTTTAGATAAAGTATAACAAATCAAATTACTAAAAGAAGTTCAAATTAATTTATGCACTTAAATTTATGAAAAAGTTAATTGAGAAAGTTTCTTAAAGAAGTTAAATCATATTTCTCTTATAAGAATTGGTATTCTTATGTTAGTAAATAGCATGCATATGAACAGTAAAGTGTTTTTAACTTGATCACAAGTTGACATGAATGACTATTAATTTTTAAATAATCATTTTAAAAGTCATATTTAACATGATTTTTTTATTGGATAACGGTGTAATTTTTATATTTTTTTTATTAAAGTTAGCTAACTTAATTATTTTTATTAGTCTTGATAAATTATTTATTTATTTCTTATTTAAAGGAACAGATGTAGTCGTATTTTCATGTGGACATAAGCTTTATCACAAACATTTGTTCGTAATACTTTGTTTTTATTTATTTAAGCATTAATTGTAATGGTAGATATGTTAATTTTATCCTATTAGAAAAATCATTTATTTTCTTTTCCTAGTACATTTGGAGTAATTTATGTAAATTAGACCTAAGTGTAGGATTAGGACTCTGCTTTAAAATGACAACGTTAAGAACTTAAGATTAGAATCGAAGAGTCCTAATAAATGAAATTTTTTACTTAAATTATACACAAACGCACTTATTCTTATTATCTGAACACCTTGACAACTGTTGGACAGATGATGGGGGCCCAAGATTTATAATATATATTTTTTTTTGTTTAAACGTTCAAGTGTTCAACATATCTAAGAGAGCACATAAACATGACACGAGCCACCATTTTAGGATGAGCAAAGGACCAGTTGCAAGCCAAAGTCATATATATGCACTGTGTTGGAAATCTATTTATAATTTATAATTTTAATTAAATGCTTTTATTCAACTTTTAATCCGTGAAAATTTGGTTCCGTTTCATTATCTTTGACCAAGTCTCTCTCTCCCTCTGTTTTTTCTTTGGAAGTTAGAAATTGGTTGCTGCACGTAACAAATTGGTTGTTGTGCATGTTTCATCTTTGCACGTCGAAACATTTTCAGTTTTTAGGGCACTCTGTGGTGTACTGATGGCCTATATTTTATTTTTCTGCTTCTTGAGATAAAGATGGGATACAAGCTTATACTATATATTAGGGGAAATGGGATATTACTTTATTATAAGCAAATGTTGGCACGGTTTTACGAATTTCACCAAATTATTTACCAAAATTAATATCTAAATTAGACGATTTTACTTTGGTTTAAGACTATATACAAGGCTATTCATATGACCTTTGACTGCAATATAAATTCTGGTTGAATATAATGAAAGAAAGCACACTTCGAAAATAACTGTTATTTGGACCCTGTTATAATATATATTAAATATTATCTCCATACTCATCTATTAATTCTTTTGTAATCTCGTTCGAATAGCAAGTGAATATCATTCTGTTGACAACTTTAATAATAATTAAAGATCCCACTATAATATAATTTATATCGATATACTTTATATCAATATTATTAAAAAAAATAATTTATATCAATATATAAACACTTTTTTTTAACTAGTCTCCACTTTTGTTTAAAATTAACTAGTTCTCTATCAATTTTTCTACTTCTCTTCTTTGGAAACATCTCACATTCATTTTTTTTCAATCGATTACCTGCTATTGAGTGACTCTTTTCCCTTTAATTAAAATAATAATATATAATGGGTGAAAACCTTCGTCCTATAAGTTATTTTTTTTAGTTGAGTTAGATGAATATCGAAATTCTAAGAAAAATCATTAGTTAATTAATTAGCATATATTAGCAATAAAAAAAACACCAGTTCATCATATTATTTTACAAAGATCACATTCATATATATGACAATTAGCAAACTACAATAACTCCACACAACCCAATAGGACAATTTGGCCATCAGAAAGACCAATGCAATGTCGGTCTTTGAGTATCCTATGAATGACATCAGTGATCAACAATACCATATTTTAACAAATGACCAAACTCTAAGTATGACATAATTTTTAGTGCGACACAACAACACATGGAATAAACGACAAACACAGAAGTCAGAGATTAGAAGGGCTCTCAGTTGGGTCCATATGATCAAACATGTCCACAGGAAAATCATCGAAGAAGCTGTCACTGTTTCTGGAGTTATCAACCGTGTCCCTCGTCCCTATTCTGCAGCTTCCTGGTGACTCAAAGAAAGTTCCAAACTCAGATGCATCAAGGGGACCAAAGTCTTCAATGAAACATGGCTCATCCATTGAGAATGCGAGATCATTGTGCAGTTCTGGAATCTGAGGAAAGGCAACGTGCTGATTCTGTTCAGTGTTTTCGTAGCTATCGAAAAGGGTGAACTCTTGTTCAAATTGGGTTGTGTGAGAACTAGGCAACTCGGGCTTTATTAGATCTGGCAATGACACCATTTTGATAACCTCGGAATTCTCGAAGAAGGGTAGTGAGCATGAATGAGGCTTTGACGATGGTTCTCCCTCTGATGATGAACTGAACTTAGGAGCCTACACAAATCAGCAACTTAATGTTATGCCTATATGAAAAATTTTCTATAGTGAAAAGAACACTGCCACATACATTTTACTTATTTTTTTAAGAGTAAATTATAAAAGTATCTCGAGATTTCGTTAGATTATACAAATATTTACTTTTTCTATTACTATAATAATCCTTTAAATATTTAAAAACCATTGCATTAGCATTCCTTATACATTATATTAACTCTCCTTAATTATTTGAAAATTCTAATTCCCGTAATAGAGTCACTGTAAATGTTTTTCAAGAAATTTTCAGTGGAATTATTTTTTTCTTTTTCAAATCTGCTACTGCATTCTCTGGGGAAAAGAATTGTTAAGAATATGGGGCATCTGCAATAATAGGAATACAAGTAGAGGAATGCACATAGAGTAACATCAAGGTTTTTTAAAAACTATCCGTGACCAGATTTCGCCACAAAATTGAGTAACTTTATTAAATAGCAACTGTTTTCAACTTTTCATCGGAACAAACTAGTTCTTGAATCTTCAAACCTGATTTACTCTGTCAAAATTTCAGTTATGATTTGCTTATGGAAATTTGTTTTCGAGTGAATTCATCATTGAATAGAATCTTACCATTTTCAGAAAAACAAATTAATTTTGAAACTGAGTTCTTGAAGAAAAAACATAATAATGGATGTAGAACAAAAGAAAAGCCCGGAAATAGAGGAAACTTTGAATATAACTACCTCCAAAGTTGGAACATCAACAGAGGTAGGAACTTTAGTTTTGTTTTTCTGCGATTTTGTTGCTGATGTCTGCAGAATCCTAGCCAACCTCTTTTGCCTACTGCTCCAGAAATTTTTAACATCATTGTCTGTTCTCCCTGTCAAATAAGTTGCAATCTTAGCCCACCTGTTCCCAAATTGTGCCTGCAACTCTATCACAACCCTCTCTTCTTCTAGTGAAAACTTGCAACCACTTCAGGAATTAGGCCAGGAGAGACACCAAAAGACAAGAATCAGATAAAAAACATCAAATTATTTCGTCTGTAAACTTAAAATAATATCATAATTTTTGAAATACAACAACTTTAGACACTAAAAACCTTATAAGTTTGTCCCTTAATGTGTTAGCTCTTAAGGACTAAAATTTGGATAAAAGACATGGACAAAGTGCTTGTTTGATTTCAGGTTTACGATCTAAAATTAAGTAAGAATCACATCAAAATAGATGTAAAAGTAACTAATCCTTGCTTCCACATTCAACAAAAACTGAGGTGAATCCAAATTAATATGCTCAAAACCTTTTCATTTTAAAAGTTGGGAACTAAAGCCAAAATAAGTCATTTTTTCGTGGACTAAAATTACCATTAAACTTAAAAAGGAGAAAACAAGCAACTCAATCATCGAAAAATCATCGAACACAAGTGCCAGTAACAAGCATGAAAAATACATGGACCAACTTCTAGTAAAAACTTGAACCCATGCACTTAAGGTACGTAAGACCAAGACACAACCCCAAAACCAAAAGGCCATGCCAAGACAATATTTTCCAAACCCCATTAAATAAAAATGTTATTTTTAAGCTTAACACAAATGATCCGAGACTAGGAACAATGGGAAGCAACGTGATCACCTCATCATTGCAAGTTTTCATCAAACAAACACAGGTGCAAGTAACAACAATGAACTACACACGTATATTTACCCATTATGAAGAAACATTGACTCACTTCTTAAGGTTTGGTCGAAGCTTATTGACCCAACGAAGACGACACGACTTGCCAGTTCTTTGAAGAAGGCCTTTGGATCGAATGGAGCTCCAATCTCTGGGGCCATACTTCTTCACGTGGTTCAGTAGCACCTCATCTTCTTCAGCTTTCCATGGACCTTTCCTTATATACTCTTCTTCTTGCTCTTTTTTCCCGTGCATTTTCAACTCATACCCCAAAAACAAGATCAACACCACACTAACTTCTCTCCGATTTTCGACCTTTTTTTGTCCCCCTTAAACTGCTGCTTTCTCACACACTATACTATGTTCTATACGCTTTTACGTACGGTTATGCATGGCGGTTATTGCCTCATTCCCACTAACTTGCCCACGTTCTCTCTTTCTCTCTTATTATTGAATAATGTTATTTTTTCTTTTCTTTTCTTTTACAAATCTCTTCTACCTCATTAAAATAACACATTTAATATCTTCAAATGTAAAACACATTCGATAGTTATTATTAAAATGAAAAAGAGAGTAGGAGGATGGGTAAAAAGTGAAGTAGAAGGATTTAAAATTATTCTACTAAAATTATTATTGACTAAGAAAGGAGGGAGAATGTTTTATGTTCACATGTATTCCTTATATATTTTAATAATTTTTTAATAATTTTTTTCACCATGTAATTTCATTATTATTCTTCAATAAATAATATCATAAAGTAATATTAAAACTGGTATATTCTTATACTATATTATAATTAGGAGAGAAAAAGATATTTTGTGTTTCTATTATTTATTTAAAATATAAAAATAAAATAAAATAATAGAAATTATATAGGTATTTGCAATTGAAAGGTAGGTGGTTTGGAAATAGCTAATTATAGAGGTAAAAATACTTTCAAAATGTATATAAAAAAGTGTATCACCTTTGTTATAGATATTGTTGTGGATGTAAAAATAATATGGTATTTTAAATTTAAATTTTTTATAATAAAAAATATTGTAAATACTACATATATTAACGAGTGATTTTATATATATTAGTAAAACTGAAACATTTCATGTCTCGTCATAAAAAAAGAATATAAAAAATTAAGAAAGTAAAAAGTGTGCAATTAAATAAATAAGTTAAATGGTAAAAAAAATTAATTTAATAAATTAGTTATGAGGTAAAAGAGTAAAAAAAAATATGGATACTAAAATAAGATATCCTTTATTAATGTTAAGATTATAGATACATATTAGTTAAAGTTATTTATACTGATTAATATATTATAACAGTTTTTTTTAACAATATATTGATTGTTTTAAATATAGTAAACACACGCATTAACGTGTGACTGTCACTGTTCATAAATATTTTTATTAGTATAAACAAGAGGTATTAAGTGTCTCTATTATTATTCATTAGTAAGATTAGTAGGGTTCACGCACTTTGTGTCTCTATTAAAAATAAAAATTAAATAATAAAAATATATTTATCTAATTGGTATTATAATTAATCTATTAATTTTAAGTTTTTAAATTTAATTAAAAAATATTTTTTTAAATTTTTTTAAAATAAATGAATATAATAGTTTAAAAAAGTAAAGATCAAGTAGTTACCGAAAAAAATATCTCTTTTATATTAATATAGATATCTTTATCATTTTATTCTAAAATTTATAAAGTAACGGCTTATAAAATAATTACTTTTGATTTTTAATGCAAAAAAAAAAAGTTAATATAATTATTACTTATTTTATTTTTTTAGAAGAAGCATAAAGTGTGTCTTTTTCTATTGGTATATATAAAAAGTAAAATTATTTTGTAAGAGTGATTTTAGGATTTATTTTTAGTGAAACTGATTTTAGGAAAAAAAAATAATGAGTGATTTTTAAGCACTTATATTAATTTATTTTGTTATTTATTTCTAAATTAACTTTCAATAGTTTTAAATAAATTTTTAATAATTAATATAATTTTATATCATAATATAAATTATTTATCATAATTCTAAAATATAATTAATATATTTAAAAGATCTATTTATACAAATTTTAAATATGATTTATATATTCAAATATAATAT